GGTGACAACTACTCCGCTCTGATGGTGCGTCTGCTGGTCGAAGTTGAGCTGCTTGGTAAGTGGAAGCAACATGTAAATCCTTTATTCCTTTATTATGCCCACCGCAGATCACAGCACCAAGAGCGTGTCCTTTGTGCTGAAGGCTCAGCATGATAATGAAATAATGGCTGCCATACTCAGCAAGTTGCGCCTCTTCCAGAAGGAGGAACAAATGTATCATAGCATTCTACCCAAATTCGAACAACTCTATGCCGATGCTGGCAAGATCATAAAATTTGCACCTAAGGCATATAAAATTGATCAGGATTTGGGTGTTGATTATGTGCTGCTCGAGGATTTAAAAGTGAAGAATTTCAAGAACGCCAATCGCTTGGCCGGTCTGAATCTAGATCACATGCAGCAGGTGCTGGAGAAGTTGGCAGCTTTCCATGCAGCTTCCGCCTGCTATGTGGAGCACAATGGCATGTTTGGGGAAGAGTTTACGGTGGGCGTGTTCAGCGAAGCCAATCGTCAGCTGCTGCAGGAGTTTAATGCCTCGGCCGCATTTCTGGCGCAGCTCAAGAAGTGGAAGAACTGCCAAAAGATCTATGAGAAATTGGTAGGTCGGCACACAGACTTGTATCATTCCAAATTTAATCTAAGGCACTTATAGGCCAAAAGTGACGAGTATTTGGTGGATCGTCTGCTACAGGATCAGCAGGTTTCCATGCGGGAGTTCAATGTGCTCAATCATGGCGATTGTTGGAACCTTAATATCATGTTTCTATATGATGCCTTTGGCAAAATCAAGGAAACGCTTTTTGTTGACTTTCAAGTTGGCAAATATGGCTCCCCGGCGAATGATCTATTTTATCTGATACTTTCCTCAGCAGCGCCAGATATTAAAACCGTCAAATTTGATTATATGGTTCGCTTCTATTTCGATAATTTGGTGGAGAATCTTAAGATACTGCAATATCATCGCCCTTTGCCCAAGTTAAAGAACTTGCTTGCTGCTCTCTTGCGCAATGGATTGGCGGGTTAGTATTCTAACCTCAACATTGGGAGCACGTTTCGCTAATACCCTTTCTTATAGCTTATATGGTCGTGTCCAAGGTGCTACCAGTTGTCATGCTGGACAAGAACGACAATGCCAATTTGGGGAATGACGAGTCCAAGGTTAAGGCCGCTATGTACACCAATCAGAAATATGTTCAGGTAATGTCCGAAATTCTGCCATGGTTGGATAATCGCGGTCTGCTCGACTGGAAGTAATTACCATTGAAAGCAAATGGTAATGAATTATATAAACACAAATAATTGTTCAAATTGGTCACGCCATATTAAAAATGTATTATTATTATACGAAATAAAACAAGTAAGAGGTTCTAGTCGGGAGCTCCCGACTAGGGGATACCATGAACCGTCTTCTTCCAACACCAACAAACAACATCTTCAAACAACACCACAATAAAAAAAAAATTGTTCCCTTGGCAGGGTTCGAACTCGCAACTAACCGCACCACTTGCCGCCGCCTCTACTCAAGGGCCACACCAATTATTAAGCTTCAATTCAAAAAACCAATTAAAATAGCAGCACAGAAAAAATTATAATCGCAATTGCAATGATGTTGATAGAATTCAAAGCAGACACGCATGAGTACCATGAGTACACGCATGAGTACCAGAAGTACCACTATACGGGAGGTACCAAAAGAGAGGATTGGCCACCAACTCTGGGTGGCCTCAGGTTTTTCCTAAAATACATAATTTAATAAAAGCGAGAAAGAACGGTTATCTTCGGTACGCCGAAGATTTAATACCCTTGCAGACTGAACCTTTTCATAATGCTCATAATGCTTTGTTCGTATCTAATTTCATATTATAATATTATAATTTTGTCTCGAAATGTGTAATGCATAGAAGAAGACATATCCGACCCCATAAAGTAAGGCGTTTCTTCTGCAAGCCCACTTTTCAATTAATACGAACTTCTCTGTATATATTTGTCCCACACTATGCTTGCGATGCTCGAAAGCTTTGAGAGAACTACGCATAAAACACACACACATATGTAAATACATATGTTACACTTTATGAATTGTGATTAGAAATAGTTATAAGATGGACCGATATAAGACAACGCACTACACTTTAATTGCCCAAATGTAAAGAAGCCGGTATTTTTATGCCGATATTTAACTAGTGCGGACAAAACCAATCGATAGTAATTTCAATAGCAAAAAAACTTCCATTTCAAAAACAGTACGCTGATGACAATAAATGAAAGTGAAATTTGAAATACCGCCACGGTAGACAGTAAGTTTAATGGAAAAATTAAAAAAAATGACTGGAACAACTGAAGTTGATGAAGTACTCTCGCTTCACATGTTCCATCCAAAAAATCAAATATGACTTATTTGTTAAACTTTTCAATGGGCTATTTTGTTATTATTTATGTATGTAAATAATGTTATTGAAAGTCATTGTTAATGATGACCTGATGAGCGTACTGGTCTGGTACTGGCATGAAAAGAAGGCGAGACTGTTAAAAATCCTTTAAAAATTCCTTCAATGCAAATCTAATGGAAATGGAGTAAAGTTTGTTTTCTGTTTAAATATGTTTTATTTTGCGCTGGAGTCGATCAGTGCCTTCTGATCTCTACCATTCGAATATATAAGGGCGGTGCTATCCGCATAAGTTGCCACCAGCAGTCTCGCGGGACAGAGGGCTGCACTGCTTTGTCCTTGTATGGGGAGGTCTCCCGTATACAGCGTGTACAGCATCGGGCCGAAGTCGCTGCCTTATGGGACACCTGCTTTAATGCCTTTGATAGCCGACCTTTGGTCTTTAACGGCCACGTTAAAGGTGCGTCCTGCCAGAAAGGAGCTCAGGTTGCTAAAATATGGCGCCGGGAGTAGGGCTTTGGTTTTAGAGAGAATACCATCGTGCCAGACCTTGTTGAACGCCTGTTTGACGTCGAGGAACACTCCGACGCAGTATTGCTTCTGTTCAAATGCCTCCAGTACATGGTTTACTACCCGGTGAACCTGCTCGGGGCATCCGTGAGACTTTCTGAAACCAGACTGATGGTCCGGGACCAGGCGCGTGACCTCGACGAGCTCTAGAAGTCGACTTAGCAGTAGTCGCTCAAAGATTTTCGGAAGCTTCGGCAACAGGCTTATAGGGCGGTAAGTTTCCAGCTGCGTTAGCGTCTTACCGGGCTAGGTGATCACGATCATTTTTGCCCGTTTCCATTGCTTTGGGAAGTGACCAAGCCTGAGCATGGAGTTGATAATGATGCCTTTGAGTGGGGTCTTCTTTCAGCTGTGTCCCGATTTTCGCAGGCGAAATGCTCCTTATTGGGAGAGCCATCTGCTGTTGCGCATCAAGTGATTCAGTGAAGGTGATGGTCGCCTCCTGGTGGTCAGCAAACGCATTGGCCTTCTCCTCGTCCGATCGGAGCCAGAGGCCAGAGTGATCTGTGATCTGTGATCGGGGAGGTAAATATTGTTTGCCTTTTAATGCTACTGGTGAGATTGCATACTGAGGACCCTTCGGGTCCTAGCCAGCAGTCGTCGGAGCCGGTTGGACGTGCTGACTATTTCCGCCTTGGCAGAGGGATCTCCGTTGCGGATGTACAGCCTCCTTAGACATCTTTTGTCGGCAAGGAGACTCCTGGCTTCTGGGTTTCGTAGGGAGCTTCTGAAGGTGTGAGTGCGAGGCAGAGTTTGCGGGACTGCACGTCTGGCAGCTTCCGTTATTTTCGCTGTGAGGTGGTCAACATAGCTCTCCAGTTCACTTGCCGTATTTATAGCAACGTTGAGCTTTAAGGTGACCTCGAAGCAGGTCCGGTAGACGTCCAAGTTAGAGCGTGGCGGGAGTATTTTGCAGATGCCAACAACCCACTTGGGATTCTCCTCTAGCTCAATCAGCAGTGGGAGGCGATCCGAGGCTAGGTCCAGGAGACTTATTAATCTCAGCTGTCCCTGTCTGAATGCCTTGTAGTGGCTATAACTTCGATGCCTTCGGTCTCAATGGCAGAGAAGAGCGTTCTCCCTCGAGAGAAAATGACTTCTGATGGAGGATTAACTAACACACCAAGATTTAATGTAAAAATAAATGTAGAACCAAAGTTAACAAACTCGAAATTTATGAAATTATTTTTACTTACAAGATAATATCAGTAATAGTAATGCGAAAATAAAAAAAAAATTAATAATAACAACACTTTAAAACAAGTTTACGGACTCGGCATTGGTTGTAACGGATAAAAGATAATCATCTTTGACCTTTATCATCAGTTTTATTAATTATACAATGCTGTTCCTTATCAATGCAATTATAAGAAATAATAGCAGTCTAGCTGATACCAAACACTAACTATAGATATATATACCCATATATTCGTTGTATCCAATACTTAAATAAATTAAAAATGTTTAGTCATAATGCGTTTTAATTTTACGCTTTCTATACAGTGTCACATGAGATCTGTTACAAATAATTCAGAGTACTCGACAAGAAAATACCCTGGGCTTAGCTCTTGTGAATTCTAAAATAACAAGCAGAATCAACTGTGTAAATTTTATTCTGAAAAAATAATGTAAATACTTCTTAGAGATGTCTGTTTGGCATACCCCTTTTATGACATCCTTTAATCTACACGGTAATTGCACAGGCTCAACACTTTCAAATCAACTTATACATACTCGTTTGTTTATGTTCAAATCAATTAATGTTTATTAGCATGACGAGCAGCAACCACAAACGGCTTCGCACGCGCCCAATTGATAAACTGGGGCGAATACTTTTTGTCGAGCTCACGATCACCCTCCCCAACCCATCCAATATGAGTCCCTACTCTGACAAATTTAGAACGAAAACAATGGTTCTATGTACAAAACTACTCAATCAGTTAAGCATAGTTAATGACGTACTATGTATTTGGCTAGGTATACCTTCACACCGATTTTCACACACAACCAGTTTGCTTTATAGGCAGCCGAAATCCCAGACCTCGGTTCTCTGTAGAACTGTATAAACTGATGTTCGGCTACTAGCGCTCAGTATTTATTTCGCGTTTGAAAACGCCGGACACTTGTTTCTCGTGCTCTACGCTACGAATTTTAATTAAATCTAAATCTATATAGCCTTTTGTCGTTAGTAAAATTCAATTAAGAATACAGATCGATTTGTGCATGAACAAGTAGAAATAAAATTAATTTGTACTTCCTGTCTGAAAGATTTTTATAATTCTATTCAAGAAATTATTATATGACAAATATATATATCAAGATAAAATATGATTTAAAATAGGAATAGTAAAGAAATTATGAATGACGTTTGAAAGATTAACTTATTCTATTCAAGATATATAAATAATGTGGTGCTTTTTAGAATTTTTCAATGGTGTCAAATGATCTACAATAAATACATTGTGATCGCTGGTCAATTGATAAAAGAGAAATATTTTTAAGCGATTTGATATGATATTAAATAAGTGAACACTTGAAAAGTTATGTGTTTTCACTCTTACAGAAAATGTCACACAATGACTCAAGTAAGCCCGTGAATCCCAACGAGTTTCTGGTCATTCCCAAATGGATAAATGAGGAATACTTTCGCCCCATCCTCGAGAAAGATGTAAACGACTTTGTAACCATTAAAAACTTTACACCCATTGCGGCAACACAACCAGGTGAAAACTACACATCGATTATGGTGCGTGTCGTCATCGACATAGAGCTCAAAGGTTGGTCTCATCACTTTCTCCGTGTCGTGTCTATGTAAGCCAATTAAATTTCGACTATTCCATAGATGGCAGTGAGCAGCAGATATCATACATATTGAAGACGATGCTGGATGCGAATAAGGGCGGCGATATTGTAGCGGGCATGAATTTGTTTCCTAAAGAAAAACAGATGTACGAGGTGCATATACCTAACTATGTCAAACTCTACAAGGAGGCGGGCTTAGACATTGAACTGGCGCCCAAAAGCGTGCACGTTGAAAACACTCCGGAGCGCATAACCCTCGTGCTAGAGGATCTAAAGCGTCAGAAATTTCACAATATCGATCGCCTTAAGGGATTGGACATGCCCCACATGCGTCGGGTGCTACGTAAACTGGCCGAGCTGCATGCCGCCTCTGCGGTGAACTTTGAACATAACGGACCCTACGCCGATATGTACTATGAAACGTTTTATAAGGAGAACAATCGGCCAATTTTTGAGGCCCTTGGACAAATGCGTGTGGAGCAGTATTTCAAAGCCATGAGGGAGTGGCAAATGCCGGATGCGGAGAAATATATTGCGATGGCCCCATCTGTAAAACAGTTTTTTGATGACGCAATTGCCTTGAACAAAGTGGACGAGACCGAGTTCAATTGTCTTAATCATGGAGATCTTTGGTGCAACAATATAATGTTCGCAGATGAGGGATCGGTAGAGCGCACACTGTTTGTGGATTTGCAAGTTGGCAAATGGGGCTCCCCAGCACAGGATCTTTGGTATTTTATTACAACCTCGGCTGCGCTTGACATTAAGGTCAAGGAATTCGATCATTTCATCAAAATATATCATGAGCGTTTGGTGGAATGCCTTAAATTGCTGAAATACTCGAAACACATTCCAACGCTGCGTGAATTACACGTCACGATGATAAAATACGGCAATTGGGGTAAGTTAGCTGCATTTCATTAATTGATCTCTTGACTGAAAAAGTATTTGCTTATTGCCAGGCCCGTTGACGGCAAATGGAGTTTTGGTGGCCGTACTCATGCCCTCTGATAAGGACTCCAGCATAGATATGATGATGATGCCGGGACCCGAGGGTGATGCCTTTCGCTACAAGACCTTCATCAATCCCTATTACGTCAAGGCCATGCTTCAATTGTATCCGTTCTTTGAAAACAAGGGTCTGCTATAAGAATATTCGCTTTATACATATATGTATGTATGTTTAATCATTGTGTGAATTGTACATATGGAGGTGATACTAATGTTACATCATTTATCTGAAATTAAACAATTTTCTACGTCAGAGCACTAAGCAAAGAACATATAGATGGGACATGCCATCAGAAATCCCAAAATTTGTCAAATTTGCATCGGACAGGCAGGCAGGGACCAACAGGCACACAAGCGCATAAATGCTTCTATTCATATACATATACAAGCAAGTCCAAAAACTTTAAAATGCACACATGCCAACGCTTAGGTACCCTTTCCAACAATAACGAGCCTAAATGCAAGAATTTCGCATCGACGTGGCAAACCCTTTCATTATTTCATATTACTTGTCCATTCAAAAGGGAATATATTTGAGAAAAATTGAATTTGTAAGCATTTTTACTTGTGCGGACACATTCACACACAAACATTTAATCGGTACCTAGACATAAAGAGAGCATTGACAGCACTGAGAGTAAGTGCGAGCGAGATGAAAATAAACAGCGATGCCGTTCTATCGCACAAATCATATGGAAGAGAGTAAGCCAAAGCAGTTTCCTGTAGTGTAAGCGAATAAAAAGACATTATATCTTATATATCTTACTCTTCTTTTGGACCAGATGCACCGATTTTTTTTTTAGCCCACTTTGCTTATACTGCATGTCTCATCTATATGTTCTTTGGTTAGTGGTCAGAGCCATGCTACAATTGTATCCGTTCTTTGAAAACAAGGGTTTGCTCTAAGAATATAAGCTTTATATAAGTTTAATCATTGAGTGTATTGTACTTATGGGAGTGATACTAGTATTACATCATATAACTGAAATACAATTATTTCCTGTACTTTGTACTAAAAACCGCGTGTAGTCCTATGTCGTTAGTATGAACATTATCTATGCTTTGACTTATTTCAAAGCCAAACACACCCCTGAAATCAATAATAACCATGACTGGCAGAACGCGCCGAAACTAATTGGTATTTAATTGAGGTGCCAAAGATTAAAATTATGCGCCCAACCGAAGCGTGCATACCCTAACGTGCTGACATACTTAAGTTTGTGGCTGTCTCTGAACAACTTAGTTTACATTGAAAACATTCAAGTAACCCAATTTTGCTGTCCTGGGCCTAAATTATCCAGATTTTTAGGCAAGTTAAAATAGGAAAGTTTCCAGGCTCAAACCTGTTATCCATGTGGTAAGGTTCTTTAATATAGAATTATTATTTTTTCCATGCCACAAAATGCAATCAAAACTATTAGAAAATTTGAGCTTTTAGATGATAGAAAAATATGTGTACGCTTTGTTAAACTAGTCATGATAATATCGTTTATTGTAGATGCATACGTAGTTTTATTATCTATGGGTCTATTCATGAGTATGACAAGAAATTACTTGCGATTATTTAACTTGTGACGTCAAACTGAATTTTAAAATTGGTATGCTTTGAACTTCATAAGCATATAAATAATTTATGCAAAACTTTATAAACAGTTAAAAATGTATGCAAGTAAATAGACATATGATTTATTCAGACTTGTGCGTCGAACTTTAGTGTAAAAGTGACACAAACCTTAAAAATCATTCATGAATTAGTATTCACAAAACTCGTTGTACATTCCATTGAGTATTTCTTTTTTCATAAGTGCTCAAACAATTATTCAAGCTTATTTAAAATTATTTTGACGCCTGATTAGCTAATCAAATATAATAAGACAAAAGTATTTGCATGTTGAATTTGAAAATCTTTTTATAATTGATTTCAATTGCTATAATTACTGTTAATAACAAGTAAGAGGCTCTAGTCGGGAGTTTCCGACTAGGGGATACCCTGAACCAAAGACAATATAAGCACTGTGTTTATATTGTCTTTGCCTGAACCGTAGCCATGTCCGCTAGAGTCGCCAAACTTGACATGTAGCTCCTAGAATAGTATATATATATATCAAGTATCTTTCATTTTATAGCTATCCCCACCTCCCCGCTACTACCACATAGCTATATATCAAGTAAATAACCCAATTCATGCTGCCCACCAATAAGAGCCATTATTTATATGCAATTGACTTTTGAGAATACACAAATATTTCATGGCTCAATAAGATGTACTGTAGATAATTTCATTAAGATCGGTTAAATAACATAGAAATGATTAAAGAAAACGTGTTTTGGCTTTCCTCGTATCAACGGCAGCAAGCGCAAATTCCAAGAATATCTGTATACATGTACACACACACATTCATTTTATTAACAGCATTGCATTTGCAATTGTATTGTTTTCTTTGCTGCTATTTTAATTCGTTTTTTCTCGTTAAGTCTCAATTATTGGTGTGGCTGTTGAGTAGAGGCGGCGGCGAGTGGGTGCGGCCGTGCGGCCTGTTGTTGCGAGTTCGAACCCTATAGAGGAGAACATTCTTATATTGGCTAGTGTGGCTGTTGAGTAGAGGGGGCAGCAAGTAATACGGCCAACGGAACTTTTTTTTTAAAGTATCAAAAATGCTGTTGCATTAAATTTGACCTTTGAATTTTGATTTAAATTTAAATAATTTATTTGAGTTATAGCTTTGGGGTGAAGGCGGGGTGGCGATAGCTTTAAAATACGGTAAACATTTCAAGCTTCTAGCTCCTATATATAAATGCGGATCAAGAATATATATAGATTATGGCGCCGGAGAGGCTTCCTCCTACCTGTTATATACATTTGCACAAGGCCAATATACCCGTTTTACACATTTTTAATGGGGTTAGAGTATAAAAAGAGTGGTTCGACTTAAGATTCAATGATCGAATCAACGTCTTACCTTTAGATTTAGTTTGTAAGACTGGTTTAAAATTCCTCAAGGTGGGCTTGATTTCTATTAATCTATTAATTTCTTACAAAATATTCATTGTTAACCAAACAAATTTAGATTACAGCCCGGCCTTTGCCGTGGCACGTATGTTATAAAATAAATGTTCTCAAAAAGCTTTGAAAATGATTTTAAACTGATCGGACGGTTAACAAACGACTTTCATACAAACGTTTTCCGCCAATTTACCACTGTTAGAGCTTTGAAAATAAGTTGCAAGAAAATCGGGAAAAAATAAAACTTCACCCAAAAAATTTTTTAATCGCATTTCTACCGAAGAAGTTTGAATTCTGCGAAAAGTGAGAAACACGTCTCAAATGAATTTTTATATAGATCTTTGGAAATGAATTTGAGCGCGAAACGTCACCCACCAAATCTTTGACCTCCATTTCCACCAAGGAGGGACGGATTTTCCAAAAAGTGCGAAACACCCCTCAAATGAATTTGAGCAAAGATCTTTGAAAATATAATGTAATGGTAAACAAAAGAGTTGCATACAAACGTTTTTCGCGATTTTTTCACACTTGGGGGTGGAATTTCCCGAAAACCCGTCGTAACGTGCACCTACATCACATAAGGTAACTACAGTAAAAATTTCAGATTCCTAGCTCTTACGGTTTGAGCTGTGCATTGATCACCAATCAGTCAGGCAGTCAGTCAGGACAAACAGTTTTATACTTATATAGAGATATTGTTAATCGGATTCAGTTCACTTTACATATTTAAGGTTCCGAGGTACTTAATAACAATTTTGTTATAATATTTTTCGATCAGTACAAACTTCAATTATTACTATATACAACACCAAAATAAGGTTAGAATCTTAAGCAACCCTTTGAATAACTTACCTGTTGAAAAATAAACTCGTAAACTCAAACTAAGAAGTAGTTTTATGTTCATTTTAAGAGCTCTTTAATTAATCTTTTTGGTTCTCGCGCACAATTTATCAAAGAAGAAGAGTTCATTCAAAGCTTTGGCTATTCTCACACCATAAATACAGCACCGATTGCTTTTAAGTTTCGCTCCAAAGCTTGGCGCGTGAGGTTCAGCCCCATTTTAAAGGTAAAGTTTAAGAAATTTGGAGAAACCCATATAGAGAAATCTTCTGTTTTTAAACGGAATAACGTAAGGTAAGATGGTAGGCCAATTATTGAGTTACTCTAAGGTTCAAGGTTATATAAGCAAGGATATTAATGATTTTCCAAGAAGTCATGACAAGCTACGAATCGCGACATCCAAAATCTGAAGAAATGACTAATGCCCCCAATAGTATGAATAGGTTAGAAAAGCCACTTCATAATACATAGTCATGCAGTGCTCACAACTCTCCCAGACAAATCAGATTCACTGTGATTTTTACTCTGTTACGATGAGTTGCAAAATAAACAAATCGTTTGATTTTTTATTGATACGCCTATCAAGTTGATTAAAGCCTGTTGCCAATTATATTACGTGTGTATGTACATATGTATATTAAATTATCTTTTAGTCGCGTACAAATACAGATAGGTTATCTGAAATAACAATAAAAGCACATAGTTTCTATTTGTACTCTACATAAACCGATCCAAGATATTGTGTGTTGATAATAGTATGGTTTTTTACATTTGGGATTTTTTCACGATATATGTACGTACATTAAAGTGGTTGAGAATTTTATCAATGAACCTTCAATGAACAAGAAGGAGGTTGTAGTCGGGAGCTCCCGACTAGGGGATACCCTGAACCTTCTTATTCCAACCTTAAATGCAGCTCGCGCTACACGCTCGTTTGCTTTAGTACTAATATGGATAAATTAAAAAAAAAGTTCCCTTGGCAGGGTTCGAACTCGCAACTGATCGCATTACTTGCTGCCGCCTCTACGCAACAGCCACACCAGCCAAAACAAAAAAAAATAGCTCCCTCGGAAGGGTTCGAACTAGTAACTGATCGCGCTACTTTGCGCTGCCTCTACTTAATAGCCACACAAACAATTAAGGCTTAATGAGAAAAAAACGAATTTAAATAGCAGCACAGAAAAAGACGCGCATTAATGTGTGTACACGTATGCAGAAAATCTTGGAATTTGCGCTTGCTGCTGCACGTGTTTGCAGACCAAAACACATTTTCTTTCGTGATTTTCAACCGATCTTGATGAAATTTTCAGTGGTAGATCTTATTGTACTATAAAATATTCGTATGAAAATAACAATTACATTTATATATATTGTGGTTTAATAAGGCAGGCAATACAAGTTGGTTTACTAACATGATTTATAAGATGGTAGCGGGGAGGTGGCGATAGGTATAAAATGAAAGATACTTGATATATGTATACTATTCTAGAAGCTACATGTCAAGTTTGGTGACTCAAGCTCATATTATTTACCGAAATTGCCCAAAATATAGGATTTCGATATCGATTTTTATCGATTACTTGGAAACGGGGCAAGTTATCGATTATTGGAAACAAACTCGATCTGCGCATGGACTAGGAGGACCTAAAGCTAAAATTTCTAAAAAAAAGTTCTGAGATCCTTGCATTTATACATACGGACGGACGGACGGACAGACAGACGCACATGGCTAGATCGACTTGGCTATTAATGTGATCAAGAATATATATACTTTATTGGGTCGGAGATGCTTCCTTCTGCCTGCTACATACATTTGCACAAATACACTATACCCTTTTTACCCATTTTCAATGGGTTCAGTGTATAAAAATGTACATTGAATACGCAAGTAGAACAAAAACCAAGTTTTAATTATTTCAATACGAATTGAGTCTTACAACTGGAATTACAAATAGTAAGTTTATTTGCATGTTACCATACGAATGACAAGCAAACTAGCCACACACAAAAAATCAAACAACTATCAAGCTACACTATCATAACTTATATATATAATTAAAAATATGTATAAACGTGTGTATTTTTGTACTGATAAAAAGTGAGTTGATCGCCCGTACAAAAACTTTTTTGTCGAGAGCTTTGACAAAACATTGGCCCAGTGCCCAACTAGACTCTCTGTGGATCAGTCGAGCTGAAATCTTTTAAGAATGTCGGAATCGAATGAAATTGTTAACCCAAATGAACATCTTGTCATACCCGATTGGATCACTGCAAAGTATTTCAAAACCGTGCTTGATAAGGACGAACCGAACCATGTCAAGGTGCTCAAATTTACGCCTGTGGCGGCCATACCGCCCGGCGAGAACTTTACCTCCATAATGCTGCGCATTTACATCGATTTGGAAATGAAAGGTACAAAAACATTTTCCACATTTTGTGAAATTACATTTAATAATAAATTGTTCGCTTTGTTAGATGGCAGCACAAAAACAAAGACCTATATCTTTAAGACGATGCTGCCTAGCGAAAGGGGTGGGGCTGAAGTAGAGAATTTTGGTCTGTTCCCGAAGGAACTAAAGATGTACGAAACATATCTGCACGCTTTCGAGACACTTTATAAGGCAGCCGGTGAGGATATACAAATTGCGCCCAAATGTCTGCACACTGAGGAACGCGAGGGCTACATTCACTTTATTTTCGAGGATCTGGGTGTTAAGAAATTCCGAAATGTGGACCGCATCAACGGCCTGGACTTGGTGCACATGACATATGCCTTACGCAAGCTGGCCGAATTTCATGCAGCCAGCTCAGTTTATGAGGAGCAAAATGGTCCCTTTCCAAGCGAATTCAATGAGGGATTTATTTCAGTCAATAACGACAAGTTCATTAAAGAAGGCTTTCAGATGAAGGAGGTGTCCTTTAAAAAGGCAATGGCCACATGGGGCATGAAGGATGCCGAAAAGTATATAAAGAATTTCGTAAGTAGCAAAGTAAAGAACTATAAATAGTAAAAATAACCCTACTTATCGTTAATTAGCCCACTGCAGAACAGTATTGGGCCATGTGTATGAGTACTCTGGAAACTGATCCCCAGGATTTCAATACCTTAACCCATGGAGATTTCTGGTCTAGCAATTTGATGTGCAATTATTTGCCTGACGGGAATATAGATCAACTGATCCTGGTAGACTTTCAAATCTGCAAATGGGGGAGTCCAGCTCTGGATCTGTTGTTTTTTATTACGTTATCCGCTGCCAACGACATACGTCTTAAGGAATTCGATCACTTTATCTGCATTTATTGGGAGCGTTTAATAGAATGTCTGAAATTACTGAAATATAAGAAGCCTTTGCCTAAGTTGCGTGATCTACAAGCCTCCCTGTACAAAAAGACCAACTCTTTTTATGGTAAAATTCATGATAATTACTTTAAGCATTCATGATAAAAATTTATTTATCTTTCTGTATCTAGCCTTCTTTGCCCTCACAAATCACCTGCCTCTGATTGTGTTTCCTACCGATAAGGATAGCAATATACACTCTACGATGGCCGAAACTGAAGAGGGAGAAAATTTTCGACTGCGTCTGACGTCTAATCCTATTTATGCCAATATTATGAAGGATTTGTATCCATTTTATTACAATCGTGGATTGTTTAATTTTGATGACTATATTACGGAATGAATAAAACTGTATGTCTCACACCTGCTTACATAAATAACTTTTTGTAGACACTGTTTATCTTTATCTTTTAAGTACGTGTTCCCTTATCATTATCTAAGACCATTGAAATATTGATAAAAACACAGCGGAATTTAATTTAAAGCTTTTTAATCTATCCCTATCTATTTAATCTTCTGTCTTTCCATCTCTTTGGAAAGAATCTTATATCATTCCTCTCCACAAGAAAGGTGGAAAGTCTTTTCCTTTTTTTTTTTTATTGTATTGGATCAAAAATAGCATACATTTTTATTACAACATAGTTGGCTTAGTTAATGTTTCGCCAAGCCTGTTTGAGTCCTCAGGCTTTATCGTGGACCAACGTCGAAATTAGCTTTTTTGAATAAGGCTGCATCGTCACATGAGTAGTCGGTGGACTCTGGGGCGTCTCCTGTGTCGTGGTCGCCCTCCCCTGAACCCAAATTGGTGATCAGGATGGATGGCCATGTGATCTATAAGTCTTGCAAGTCAGGCGACAATCAGTCTTTCCCAGACCTTCGACAAGGGAGGCAGGAGACTGATCGGCCGATATGACTTAGGGTCATATTCCGGCTTGCCCGACTTATGGATCATATGGATCCTCGCTAACTTCCACTGGGCAGGGAAGTATTGCGTCCTTAATATGGCGTTGAAAATCAACGTTATAAAAAGGAGCGAGCGCATTGGCAGGGCCTTCAAGGCGGTGTGGCCCGGAGCTTTAGTTCTAGTAGGAACTATGACGGCGTTGATTACCTCTTCCACGCGGATGGGACCGATAAGTGGTGACATCTGAATCGAGACTCCGATGCTCGGGTAGTCTCATCGAGCTCTTCTGGAAAGGCCGAGTTGAATGTTGAAACCCGTTCCTTTAGGTGGCTGGCGAAAATGTCAGCTTGTTTTTTAGTTGTATTTTCTGACAGCAGAATTATTCCGATGGCGTGTTTTTGTACTAGGGCCTCCAGCTTTAGTACTTTTCCCGAAATGCCCTTGGCATTCCAGATTAGTGGTGTGTTCATTTTGATAGCAACGAGGTTACAAGGGTAAGGATTTGCTGTTGCATACCCAAAACCTGCTGTTGAATTTCTGCCATCCTCTCGATAGCTCGGCTCATGTCCTTGATGGCGGAGGAGAGTCCTTCCCCGTTTCCAGATGTCTGCTTTTGCTGTTGTTGCGCAGTCAGCCTCTCCTGTTGCTGTTCTTTCAGCAGTCTATGTAGCCTAGCTTGCACTGGTCCTTCTCGCTGGCTAGAGCTCGGGTCGTTGTTCTCTGTGCTGAATGAAGCTAGTCCTCTTCTGGCGGCAGCGGCGTATGAAAGCCCTTTTATTTGTTCAGTATGTGCTGTGTAGGGGAAGTCAACAGGTGTTGGCCCATGAACTTTGTTGCTGCGGCTTCGGTTAGCTTGAGTCGGTGGGAGATTTTTTATTTTGGCGGGCTTTGGGGCTCCCGCACGCTTTGTATATTCGGTGAACCACTCGCAGCCCTTATAGTTAGCAGGGTGGTTACCACCGCAGTGGACGCATGTTGCCGGAACTGAGTCGGGTCGTGTGCAATCAGCAGAGCGATGATTGAGCCCGCATTTAACGCATTTGTATTGTTTTCTACAGTATGTGGCCGTGTGCCCGTACTCCTGGCATCTATGGCATTGCACCACATCCTGGCTTCTTCGAGCAGTCTCAAACTTGACCACCTGCTAGCAAGGCTTCCTGATGGTAAGAGCCTCCTTGTTGTTGGCCGCCGGCTGCAAGTTGATGAAGTGGATGTTCATGGGCTCCTTGGTAGCTTTGCTGCTCGGATTGTGCACGTGGAGAACGGTATGGCCCTGGGTCCGGAGGTCGTCGATGAGTTCTCGGTTGAGTGTTGAGTGGTGGAGGCCTTTGATTACTATGCGTTAGGGCTTCTCCTCCTGCAGCTGGTATGAGTATAACTCAATTTTGTATTCATCCAGTATCTGTATGATGGTCCTGTATGTGGGCACATCATTGGCTAGGAGTCGCATAGTCCTACCTAGGTTGGATTTGATGGTCAAGTTATCCGCTACTTCGGATAGTAGGAGCCACACGTCGTTGATGTCGCCGAACCGATTTAGGACGATGGGGGGTGGCTTCTTTCCTCCAGTGGGGGCATTGTTGTTGGCCCTTTTTTCGGGCACGGAGGAGCTGGTGCTGGCATGGGCGTCAGCGTTTGGCTGGGTGCCGCCCCCAAACTGAGGAGTCGCTGAGGCAGGCAAGTTCTCTTCTTGGACTGGGTTTATCTGCTCGGCCTCAGATTCTTCAGTATCCATGTCTTCGACTTTATCGGGTGGGGCCAAGAGTGCATATCTGTTGGAAGCATGAGTGCCAACTGGACTGGTGTCAGTCTTGTTCTGTTTTCGCCGCGCGGCAGGTGGGGACCTGTTGTCTAAGACTTTGCGCATATCATTTTTATTTCTCGCCTGTGATTGGATCATTCGAGCCGCGGCTGCGGCGTGCGAATTGGGTTTGACGATATATTATACGCACTAGGGCGTCAACGGGGTCTCTATTTGCACTAGCACCAGCATGTGGGCTGCTGCCGGGGTATTCGGATTCCATTAAAGGATAAGAAGGAGAAACTGAAGTACTTCTTCCAGACATCAGCGCGGAGAATTTGTTGGCAGCTGTTGCTAAGCGGCTGTTAAGCATTGAGGTGCTCGGCGGCGTAGCGGCATCAGCATTTAGTTGGCCTACCTCTTTAGTTCGAGACGACCCCTTTTTACTCATTGTGAGTATGTTGCTGTTCTCAGCACTTACTGGTTTGGTGGCTCTATTTGCATTGCCACTGACTGATTCCTCAATTTTTTTTGACCACCTTATTTTTCGTTTTGGTTTCATTTCACTTAAAACAAATTGCTTTGTCAGCAAGAAGTTTTGTTTTTATTTTTGCCGTTTTCGTGTTTTCCAATATTTGATGCGTTGCAATCTTTGTGCGGGATTGCAAAAGCCGCGTTTGGCCGTTTGGGCGTGCACTCGAATTTTGATTTTCAATTTTTTTCCGCGAACTTCGAACTTCGAACACCAAAAAGTGTCTTCAAGAAAGGTGGAAAGTCTGATATACAAAATTACAGGGGCATTGCAAAACTGTCCGATATCCCTAAATTATTTGAAAAAATAATCACTTCGAATTTACAGCATTTCTGCAAACCAGTTGTCTCTCCTGTGCAACATGGATTCGTAAAGAATCGGTCAACTACGACCAATCTGCTAGAATTTACTTCCTTAGTAAATGATGCTTTCCTTTCTAAAATGCAAACTGATGTCATTTATACTGACTTCAGTAAGGCGTTTGACTCTGTGCACCATGATCTTTTACTCTTTAAACTTGACCGATTAGGTTTCCCTCCACGTCTTTTGCTCTGGGTAAGTTCTTATTTAAAAGGTAGGACCCAAAGAGTAATGCTGAGGCTGACTACCTCAAATCAGGTTCACGTTACTTCTGGTGTTCCTCAAGGTAGTCATCTTGGACCTTTACTCTTTACCCTTTTTATAAATGATCTCCCCTCGGCTATATCTCATGCCCGTGTACATACATATGTATGCGGACGATGTGAAACTTATATTATCATACACTAATCCCCTACATCATTCTCGTCTACAAGATGATTTGAACGCTATGCTATTTTAGTGTTCGGCCAATCAATTGCATCTAAATTGTTCAAAGTGTATGTTTATGACCTTTAATCGTACTACACGTTATCTTGTTAGTTATACAGTTGACAATACTCCATTGCAATGTATACTAACCGTTAAGGACCTAGGAATCCTTTTTGATTCTAAACTCAGTTTCAATCTGCATATAGATAACATCGTTAATGAAGATTCAATAAACGATGGTCTAAAGAGTTTAACGATCCTTTTATAACGAAATTTCTGTACATATCTCTTGTTCGTCCTATCCTTGAATACTGCTCTTGCATCTGGTCTCCGCAGTATAAAAACAGCCAGGATCGTATTGAATCTGTTCAGAAGCAATTTCTGCATTTTGCCTTACGAGGTTTCAATTGGGACCCTAATCTTCGGTTGCCATCCTACTCCAGCAGGCTGCTTCTTCTTAATCTTCCGACGTTAACCAACCGTAGGACAATTCTCGGTGTTGTCTTTCTACATAAGTTGATTGTTGGCGATATAGATTCTCCTTTTCTGTTATGGCGTCTTCAATTCTCTGTTCCTTCTAGACCAACCAGGAATTATCACCGCTTATTCTTATCTAAGTGCAGAACAGATGTAAAAATAATAATAGTTTGCATCACGTTTTCTCTACCGAACTTTCTCTACCCCTAATAAAATCATTGCTTTCAGGATACCTTCGGGAACTCACTGACCATTCCCAGCTATGAGTAGGGGCATAGTTTGTATGTTATAAAATCAATGTTTTCAAAAAGCTTTGAAAATGATTTTGAAACTGATCGGACGGGAATCAAACAACTTTTATGCAAATCGGAAAACTCTTTAAATTCACCAAAAAAATCTTAAAAATACATTTTCCACCGAAGGAGTTTAGATTTTGCGAAAAATGTGAAACACGTCTCAAATGATTTTTCTTATAGATCTTTGGAAATAAATTTGAAAACAAAACGTCATCCACCAAATCTTCGACCCCCGTTTGCACCAAGGAGGGATGGATTTTTCAAAAAGTGTGAAACACCCCTCAAATGAATTTGAACATAGATCTTTGCAAATGAGTTTGGGGCCGATCGGATCGTTAACAAAAAACTTTCATATAACCGTTTTCCGTCAATTTACCACTGTTGCGGGTGGAATTTCCCAAATCGCTGAAATACGTATTCATTAAGTTCTTATGGAGAGCTTTGAAAATAAGTTTGAAGCAAATCGGACACAACTTAAAACTTCGCCCAAAAAATCTTTAAATCGCATTCCCCCCGAAGAAGTTTGAATTCTGCGAAAAGTGAAAAACACGTCTCAAATGAATTTTCATATAGATACTTGGAAATAAATTTAAGAACGAAACGTCACCCACCAAATTTTTGACCCCCATTTCCACCAAGGA